TGATGTGGTTTCTGTTATTTGGTACAGTTCTTTGTTTGTGATTCTGTAGCGCCAGACCCCGAGGTTTGAAGAACGGTTGCTGTTGAAAGTCCTCAAGTGATGTGGTTTCTGTTATTTGGTACAGATCTTTGTTTGTGATTTTGTAGCGCCAGACCCTGAGGTTTGAAGAAGGGTTGCTGTTGAAAGTCCTCAAGTGATGTGGTTTCTGTTATTTGGTACAGTTCTTTGTTTGTGATTCTGTAGCGCCGGTCCCGAGGTTTGAAGAACGGTTGCTGTTGAAAGTCCTCAAGTGATGTGGTTTCTGTTATTTGGTACAGATCTTTGTTTGTGATTTTGTAGCGCCAGACCCCGAGGTTTAAAGAAGGGTTGCTGTTGAAAGTCCTCAAGTGATGTGGTTTCTGTTATTTGGTACAGATCTTTGTTTGTGATTTTGTAGCGCCAGACCCCGAGGTTTGAAGAAGGGTTGCTGTTGAAAGTCCTCAAGTGATGTGGTTTCTGTTATTTGGTACAGTTCTTTGTTTGTGATTCTGTAGCGCCGGTCCCCGAGGTTTGAAGAACAGTTGCTGTTGAAAGTCCTCAAGTGATGTGGGTTTCTGTTATTTGGTACAGATCTTTGTTTGTGATTTTGTAGCGCCAGACCCCGAGGTTTGAAGAAGGGTTGCTGTTGAAAGTCCTCAAGTGATGTGGTTTCTGTTATTTGGTACAGTTCTTTGTTTGTGATTCTGTAGCGCTGGTCCCCGAGGTTTGAAGAACGGTTGCTGTTGAAAGTCCTCAAGTGATGTGGTTTCTGTTATTTGGTACAGATCTTTGTTTGTGATTTTAAAGCGCCAGACCCCGAGGTTTGAAGAAGGGTTGCTGTTGAAAGTCCTCAAGTGATGTGGTTTCTGTTATTTGGTACAGTTCTTTGTTTGTGATTCTGTAGCGCCAGTCTCCGAGGTTTGAAGAAGTGTTGCTGCTGAATGTCCTCAAGTGATGTGGTTTCTGTTATTTGGTACAGTTCTTTGTTTGTGATTCTGTAGCGCCAGACCCCGAGGTTTGAAGAACGGTTGCTGTTGAAAGTCCTCAAGTGATGTGGTTTCTGTTATTTGGTACAGATCTTTGTTTGTGATTTTGTAGCGCCAGACCCGAGGTTTGAAGAAGGGTTGCTGTTGAAAGTCCTCAAGTGATGTGGTTTCTGTTATTTGGTACAGTTCTTTGTTTGTGATTCTGTAGCGCCGGTCCCCGAGGTTTGAAGAACGGTTGCTGTTGAAAGTCCTCAAGTGATGTGGTTTCTGTTATTTGGTACAGATCTTTGTTTGTGATTTTGTAGCGCCAGACCCCGAGGTTTGAAGAAGGGTTGCTGTTGAAAGTCCTCAAGTGATGTGGTTTCTGTTATTTGGTACAGTTCTTTGTTTGTGATTCTGTAGCGCCAGTCCCCGATGTTTGAAGAAGGGTTGCTGTTGAAAGTCCACACGTGATGTAGTTTCTGTTATTTGGTACAGTTCTTTGTTTGTGATTCTGTAGCGCCAGACCCCGAGGTTTGAAGAAGGGTTGCTGTTGAAAGTCCCCAAGTTATGTGGTTTCTGTTATTTGGTACAGTTCTTTGTTTGTGATTCTGTAGCGCCAGTCTCCGAGGTTTGAAGAAGTGTTGCTGCTGAATGTCCTCAAGTGATGTGGTTTCTGTTATTTGGTACAGTTCTTTGTTTGTGATTCTGTAGCGCCGGTCCCCGAGGTTTGAAGAACGGTTGCTGTTGAAAGTCCTCAAGTGATGTGGTTTCTGTTATTTGGTACAGATCTTTGTTTGTGATTTTGTAGCGCCAGACCCCGAGGTTTGAAGAAGGGTTGCTGTTGAAAGTCCTCAAGTGATGTGGTTTCTGTTATTTGGTACAGTTCTTTGTTTGTGATTCTGGCGCCGGTCCCCGAGGTTTGAAGAACGGTTGCTGTTGAAAGTCCTCAAGTGATGTGGTTTCTGTTATTTGGTACAGATCTTTGTTTGTGATTTTGTAGCGCCAGACCCCGAGGTTTGAAGAAGGGGTTGCTGTTGAAAGTCCTCAAGTGATGTGGTTTCTGTTATTTGGTACAGTTCTTTGTTTGTGATTCTGTAGCGCCAGTCCCCGAGGTTTGAAGAAGGGTTGCTGTTGAAAGTCCACACGTGATGTAGTTTCTGTTATTTGGTACAGTTCTTTGTTTGTGATTCTGTAGCGCCAGACCCCGAGGTTTGAAGAAGGGTTGCTGTTGAAAGTCCCCAAGTTATGTGGTTTCTGTTATTTGGTACAGTTCTTTGTTTGTGATTCTGTAGCGCCAGTCCCCGAGGTTTGAAGAAGGGTTGCTGTTGAAAGTCCTCACGTGATGTAATTTCTGTTATTTGGTACAGTTCTTTGTTTGTGATTCTGTAGCGCCAGTCCCCGAGGTTTGAAGACGGGCTGCTGTTGAATGTATTCATGTGATGTGGTTTCTGTTATTTGGTACAGTTCTTTATTTGTGATTCTGTAGCGCCAGTCCCCGAGGTTCGAACAAGGATGGTTCTCGCTATTCACGTGGAGCTATTTTTAATCATTGATTTGAGAAATCAGTTATGTTGAGCTGACTGTTTAAATATTTCCGAATGAGTCTGACGTCATGCATGACGTCATTATGAAAGTCACAATCTGACGAGGCTATATATTTTTTTATCTATGGTTTGGGGATGAGGGATGTCATACGCCATGTGAACATTGCACTAGTCACGATAGACATTAACGAATACCCACCGAAATGTGTGGAGGGAGCTCATCAGTTCCCTAGGAAGATCAGAGATATCATGTATACTTGTAGTGAACAAAACACGATATAGATTTAAATTTCAAAAGCTAAGCACTGACTCATTGATTGTGTTAGAAATTAAAAAGACTCGAATTTACAAACTTTGCTTAAAGCAAAAGCGAATCCAAAACAAAACTCGTAAAATTTCATACCTTCATGTGAAATGTTTTTCGGCCAATAGAAAACTCGGAAACATTTAAAAACATAATTCAAATAATCTTCAATTTTCAGAAACAAATTCTTTTACGGACCTTTTCGCGAGCCGACGCGAAGTTTGTTCGTCGTCCAATGGAAAGGCCCGAATCATATCCGGGAGTGAATTCCCAAATAAACTTTTCAAGCCCCACAAACAAAATAAAAGACGGGAAAGTTCGCCTGTCACAAGGGAGGAGACGAACGTATTAACCCGTCCCTTGACAGCGTCAAGCGAGCGTTATTATTATCTCTACCTTTCTCCCTCACCTCTTTTATACTTGATAAACGAACGGAACATTTTAAGACTGAGCGATTACCTCAAAGACCTTCCTACCCTACGATAACGCTCATACATACATACGTACGTACGTTCCTGCCTATATATACATAAACTCATTCTTGCAAGGACTACTACGAATATTTTGACGATCTTGTATCAACCAAAATACATTAATTTTATTTGTAGAGACCTAAATTGATTTACATGTATATAAATTTGTTGTTTCACTTTACAATTTGATTTTCTTGTTTTATACCCCTCAGATGGTGGGCTATCTAACTAACAAGGCCAACTCAAACTAATCTGTTTCAACACTCATACACTTCACTATAACTGATAACCCACTATATACAATTGTAGCGCGCGATCTCGTGTATCGTGCGACCCACAAACTTTCACTTATAAAAAATGATTTTTTCTTGTATTATGATGTTACTCTTATACAGGGCTGAAAAGGATGCGACCTTAAAAAGAAAAAAAAAAAGAAGTTTGCCAACTCATGACTTAAGCTATAATGAAAAAATGGCCGTTGGTTGAAAGAAGAAATATCCAACAGAAAACAAAGGACTCTTTTGAAAATAAAATGTTGATAAAAAATTTCAATTTACGGGATAATAAATCGAATTGATCATCCGTAGTTCTTCTTTTATGTACCATGTCTTTTCAGGACGTGATCTATCATGGCTCTCCACAACTTCCTATTCTTTGTAGCTCTAAACAACATATTTTTTACTATCCTTCCTACTCCATGTTCTACTATCCATTTACACAAGCTCGTTAAGTAGGATGATCATGGCTCTCCACAACTTCCTATTCTGTGTAGCTCTAATGTTTGTCTTCTTAATATCCGTCCCAGTTCGTATTCTGCCATCCATTTACACAAGCTTAAGTAGGTTGATCATGGCTCTCCACAACTTCCTATCCTTTGTAGCTCTAATGTTTGTCTTCTTACTATCCCTCCCAGTCTGTATTCTGCCATCCATTTACACAAGCTCAAGTAGGTTGATCATGGCTCTCCACAACTTCCTATTCTTTGTAGCTCTAATGTTTGTCTTCTTACTATCCCTCCCAGTCCGTATTCTGCCATCCATTTACACAAGCTCAAGTAGGTTGATCATGGCTCTCCACAACTTCCTATCCTTTGTAGCTCTAATGTTTGTCCCCTTACTATACCTCCCAGTCCGTATTCTGTCATCCATTTACACAAGCTTAAGTAGGATGATCATGGCTCTCCACAACTTCCTATTCTTTGTAGCTCTCATGTTTGTCTTCTTACTATCCCTCCCAGTCCGTATTCTGCCATCCATTTACACAAGCTCAAGTAGGTTGATCATGGCTCTCCACAACTTCCTATCCTTTGTAGCTCTAAACAACATTTTTACTATCCTTCCCAGTCTATGTTCTACCATCCATTTACACAAGCTCGTTAAGTAGGATGATCATGGCTCTCCACAACTTCCTATCTTTTGTAGCTCTAATGTTTATCACCTTACTATCCCTCCCTATGTTCTGTCATCCATTTACACAAACTCATTAAGTAGGTTGATCATGGCTCTCCACAACTTCCTATCCTTTGTAGCTCTAATGTTTGTCTCCTTACTATCCCTCCCAGTCTATATTCTGTCATCCATTTACACAAACTCGTTAAGTTCGAGGCATGATTTCTGACCCAAGAATTCTTTGTCCGAGGCTCTGCAAGACTCTGCGGTCAAAATAATTATCAGCGGGTCGACGTAACCCATGTCTATTTGAGGAAGAAGAAAGACAATCGCTTAGTCAGAGTAAAGCTGGGATATGAGAAAAGGAATAAAGAAAGAATAGAAAACAGAAAAAAAGAAGATAGAAGAAAAGAAAGAAAGAGGACATGACTGAGAATAGAACGAAAGAATAGAAAAAAAAATGAAGAAAACTCATTTAAAAAAGAAAAAACGAAATGAGAACTCCCTCTGTAAAGAAAGAGAAAGAGGGAAAGAGAAACATGGGAAAAGAAAGAAGAAAAGAAAGAAGAAAAGAAAGAACTGACCGAAAAGAAAGGGGAAAGAGAATATATTAAGAAAAGAAAGAAAGAAGAAAAAAAAGAAGAAAAGAAAGAAAGAAAGAAAGAAGAGAACTGACCGAAAAGAAGCAGGAAAGAGAAAATATTTAGAAAAGAAAGAAAGAAAGGAAGAATAAAGGAAGGAAAAAGATAACTCAGCAAGAAAAAAAAAGGAAAAAAGAGAATTCTCTGAAAAAAGAAAGAATGAAAGAAAATAACAAATTTAGGAAAAAAAAAGCAACTAAACAAAGAAACACTACGTCATGAAAGAAAGAAAGAAGGAAAGAAAGAAGGCACTTAGAAAAGAAAGAAAAAAGAAGAGAAAGGAAACAAAGAAACGCTAGACTAAGAAAAAAAAGAGGGAAAGAAAGAAAGAAAGACAGATAGAATTAAGAGAATTCACTGAGAAAGAGAACAAGATAGAAAGAAAACACCAAATAATTGAAGAAGGAAAAATATGACAGTATGTGTAGTGTGTATATTCCAGACCCCGTAGACAGAAGTTTCCTAAAAAAGTTTCCTTAAAAAAAAGAAAAGCAAAGAAAGATTAAGCGGAAATAAACAGTGAAGAGGGAAAAAAAAAAGAGACTGAATACATTAAGAGAAAAGAAAGTTCAGCTGACGTGTTTATACCGAGGGACAAGTAAGTAGTTAAAGAAAGATGAACGACAAAGCAGCTATGGTTTAATTTGGTCCAGTGGTCACCTTGACCAACACCACCCAGATATCTCTGTGGTGTTACCTTGACACTTACAATTAACACGTCACAAACGATTCACCCGTTTCTTTGTATCAACACAGTTCATCCCTAAGATTTAGTAGTAAACACATTTTTAGACATGTCTCGTTCGTCTCTTACCTTGAAGACTACTACCCCGAATTAAACGCAGTTTCCGAGATCTTAAAGTTGGAACATGTGAGCAACGACGAAGTTTTAGAGAAAATGGAAACCAAAATATTTAACAGAGACAGTTGAAATTTCTAGGGGACATAATGAGTAAAGAGGGACTTGGAAATCTTTGATTCACAGGACAGATTGAAGGCAAGAGGGACGGAGGAAAACAATGCATAACGTACTTAGTGAACTTGATTAAATGGATGACGGAACAAGGTTTTAGGAGAATTAATAAAAACACAAAATTTATTAAGAGCTACAAAAGGCAGGAAATAGTGGAGAGCCATGATCACCTATGTACTGAAGGGACACAGCACATAGAAGAAGAATGAGCTTGAATAAATGAATGGCGCAAGAAGATTTATGAAAAATAATAAAAAGACAAACTTTATTAAGAGCTAGAAATGACAGGAAATTGTGGAGAGCCATGATCACCTCTGTACAGTGTCCCACAGCACATAGAAGAAGAAGAATGAGCTTGAGTAAATGAATGGCGGCACAAGGTTTAGGAGAATTAATAAAAAGACAAAATTTATTAAGAGCTACAAAGGACAGGAAATTGTGGAGAGCCATGATCACCTAATTCCTGAAGGGTCATAGCACATAGACGAAGAAGAATGAGCTTGAATAAATGGATGGTGGAACAAGGTTTAGAAGAAATAACAAAAAGACAAGATTTATACCATGCTTAAAAATTTTCAAAACGTATACTTTATATTTCTGCATATAAGACAATCTTTAAATGCCCCCCCACCCCCAATCACTATTAAAAATGGCGCAGGTCGTCTTATACTAAAGAACAACCCTTAAATTTTGAGTGATGTTTGATGGTACGCTAAGCTCGGCCTCGGTGTGGTAACCAATATATAAAAAAAAATCACATATCAAACTGATAATAAAAGTATTAAAACCATTTCTCCCTTACTGGCGCACACACACACACACACACACACACACACACACACACATATATATATATATATATATATATAAACATATATTGTTCAATATAACAGATAATGAATGTCTATTATGTCTGATCATGAGCCATTCTAATGTTCATGTTTGTTTTATATTCGAGTGAAAATAAATATTAAATTGTCCAACATTTGGATATTTTTTTAAGTTGGTCCATAATCTAAACTTTCGGCTCTCATGAGCCATCTTCAGAATGGTTATACGGACATTTTAACAAAGATATTCATTATCGAAGATAATATTTTATGTTGACATAGAAGATTGCTATGCAACAATAACGGTCGCGGAGTAGCAGACGCAGGTCGTAAGTTCAAGATGTGGTTCTATGACGTCATACCACGTGAGAGACAGAAATATTAACAAAAAAACCATGTCTAGACGCAATGAAATGTGTTGTGACTAGTTTGAAATGTAATCATATCATACTTATTATAAAACCCAGGTTGTGTGTGTGTGTCTGTACGTTTATATATTGGATCGGATTTCCTACATTTTTCAACCGATTTCAACAAAACTTCACAGGACTACGTAAAATTACATTGCGGTGGTTCTGACAGCGCCAAAAATTGGAAAAACACAATTGTTTTTGCACGAAATCAATTTGAAAACACGATTAAGAGGCATCACGAGAATCAAAGGGGAACAACTCATATCTAGTTATACTTATAAAACCCAGGTTGTTTGTGTGTGTGTGTGTTCGTTTATATATGGGATCGGATTTCCTACATTTTTCAACCGATTTCAACAAAACTTCACTTTTTTTTTGGCAGGTAGAGTTTCTTATTGTCTTGCACACTTTTTCTTTATTTTTACATTCAGAATACTTTAAAAATTCCATTTACAAGACAATTGTTTATAATAAAATTCTATTCAATCGGTAGACTCATAACGATTGAAAACAATGTTTTTGTTTGAGTTTGGGTTTGACCAATTCGTTAAAAAAAAAAAAAACCATACAAAAAAAACTAATTAAGACATGCGTGTCCGTCAACCTTAAACAATAATCTTTGTCAATTTTATTTTCAGTCTTTATGATGGTCGATACTTGATCTATCTCTTCACTGTTACATCCCCAGGCAACGCCGGGCTCTCTACTGTTTTTTTTTTTTTATATATATATGAATAAAGAAAAATGGAAAACTTTTCTTTATCCACGCGTTTCGTTCTCTGACGTTATCACATTTGCCCCAACAAAGTTCATCAGAGAAAGGTTTTCCTTTTGTCTTTATTCATATTATCTTTTACAAATATATTTTTATTCACATCTAAATTTTCACACACACACACACACACACACACACACACACACACACACACACACACACACACACACACACATATATATATATATATATATTTATGGATAAACAGAAAAGGAAACCTTTCTTAACCGACGCGTTTCGACCTGTGATGATTACTATAATATTTGCCTGGTCTACCGCAGAAAGAAATGGCAACCTACTGCGGGAAAAAAAAGTGATGGAAAGAAACTCTAAATGAATTCGGCTAGATATATAAAAAAAAATATTTTGAAAAATTAAAAAATTCCCAGCACCCCTCGTTCAAGCGCATGTGTAGTCGTACTCGTGCGTAAAGAAGTTTTCGTTTTCTCTTTATTGACATTATCTTTCCCCGAGGAGACATGGCCCAGTTGATAAAAGCGTTGACTGGATCGAATGACTTGACCCATAGCGCTGTGAGTTCAATACCTGGCTACTACACTGGTGAACAAAAACTTGGGGAGTTAAGTTAAAGGGAGATAACTGAGACATCCGGAAGAGGCATGGCACGTGGAACTAGAACAGTCTACACCGGTGGACGAAATAAAATGTTCAGTTCGAAATCGAATCACCTGATGAAGGCCGTAGCGTACAACAGCTGAAACGTCCTGAATATGACAATAAAGATGAGGACAAGGTTCCAAATTACAAAATTTATCTGTTTACAACCGTCCATTTTTAACGCAACTGTAATTACTTAGATAACGTAATACTTAACAAACAAAATAGTTACCCATTTTCCATCCTTAAAATTTAGAAAAGTTTTAATTAATCGGTAACTATAAAAAAATCTATTTTCAATTACTATGGTTAAAATGAAGAATGCGTAGCAGGACTAGGTAGTAATAACACCATACGAAAACATACACTTTCCTCTTTACTAAGTGAGTGACAAAGAAAACTCTCTCTCCCTCTCTTCTATATATTTCCTTTCCTTTCCTTCCTTCTATTGTTCCTATCCTCGGTAACGGACATGAATCCGAACTTAGTTCATGTGAGTCAGTGGACGTCATAAAAAAAAATCAACCAATGACGATACGTCTCGCCAAATATCAAATGCGAAACACGGATGTGTCAGCCCCAATAAAAAGAAGAAAACCACGGACGAGACTAGAGGCGCCGCAGTGGAGAGGAACTTGGGCTGTGAATTTGACCTGACGTACAACTCCAGAAGAGAAAGAAGAAGAAAGGATGAACGCAACGAATTAATTTCCGTCAACCAGAAGGAACACAACAACCCCTGTATGAATTCTCAAATCACAAAAAAAAAAATGACGATAGTTAACCATTTAAACACTGTAACTAAATGGAGTCAACAATAAATTGTACTATAGATAGTAAATTTGGCTTTTACTTCATTTCTATATACAATAAATGTTTTAATTTACTAATCAAGTAATATGTGTGCACTAATCGAATTTTGGTAGATAAAAAATTTAGCGCACTAATTGAGAACGCATTAATCCAATGCGCATTAATCGAGGGGTTCTTGTATTACCCTTGACTTTCTGTTAGTTTCCATTAGTTTTTCGGCCAAGTCGTGATTTTCAGTCATATTCAAATAATGCAAAAGTTTACAGCGTTTTTAGACAGAATAGACAGTCATTATTCAGTTATCTATGACTTAATAAGGATGCTACGAATTTATATGACCTTACATTAACATTCAGCCAAATTCTGTATTCCATGCAGGGGGTCCTTTCCCAGACCTGAACAAAAACGGAACACAACGTGGGGTAATCATTGTCCGGTCGTACGGGAAACGGCATTTTCATGCAAGCCGGTTGAGGTAAGCGAACAAGGAATGGTTCTCTAAGCTGCAAAACACATGTTAGAATTTTATTAAAAAAAAAAAAAAAAAAAAAAAAAGTTAAATATTTTAATTTATTCTCTTTTCCCATTAAAGAGCTAAATTTTTCTCGTGACCTTGATAAACTGTTCAACACCTCAAGGACATAAAAACGTATCCGGAGAGGTTGAGTGACCCAATGGACGAAACAATGTTTATCTATAACGTGAGAAAAATAACACAACATCTCGGTAGATCTTTCTCACCTGAGACATGGGAGAAAGACTTAAAAAAATTTTAAAAAAAAATTACTCAAGGATTTCGATATATATTTTGAAGACATACAAGCAAAGTATATTGTCAGGTAAGTTATTTTTAGAAGGAATGCAAATGCGCAACTGTG